CCGCAGACCCCGGAAACGTTTGGAAAAAGTGGGAAAACTGCCAGTTTTCCATTTTTCCCAAGAGTGACAGAGGTAGTGGTATAAGAAGAAGATGAACCACGCTCTTGAAGGGGTCGAGAGATCCTTCTGTCAGCCCGTCTGTCACATAAATTTATTCACATGCATACATTTATCAACATATTTGGTCCACATACAGACATTCAACCACTTATTCATCCGTGTATTTATATCCATACATCTAACCAGCTATCTATCCACATATTTATCCACATATTTATCCACATATGACCCCGAATCATGCTCCTTAGTGCAGTGACCGCAGCGAGAGCCCCTTGCATCAGCACGTCTGTTGCATATATCATCAACATACATAGACTTATCGGAATGTTATCCACTTCATGCTCCCCAGGGCAGTGAGAGCTCCTTCAATCAGCCCATTCGTTGAGTATATTTATCAAACACACACATTGATCCACATAAAAAAATTTGCCCACATACTTGTCCATATACATTTATCCATAAATATGTACCCACATACATGCATATATCCACATATTTATCCACATACACACCTTTATGCACATACTTATCCATGTATAGTTACCCACATATGCACATTTACCAACATATTTATCCATGTATGGTTTACCCACATACACACATTTACCCGCATATTTATCCACATACCCAAATTCTTACATTTATCCACATGCAGTTGGTCATATACATATTATCTACGTTTAGATACCCACATACATACATTTGCACACAAATTTATCCACATATTCACATCCATACATTAGTCGGAATTTTGTCCATGTATTTATCCACGTACATACATTTACCCAGGTACTTATCCACGTCTAGTTGCTCTCATACTTACATTTACCCACATATTTATCCACATTCCCACATTCATAGAATTTATCACACATATCGACATGACCTGCCGACCTCAACTTTGCCATTTCCCGAGATGACGAACAACATTTTCTTTTTTCCGCACGGTATACAGCGTTGCCTCTTTTCGCACTCTGGATCGTGTCATTGAGGACCAGGCACCAATCCCTCGGCTGAAAGAATTCGACACAATCGGATCTTGATATCATGTGCGCTTCTAATCTTTTTCCTCAAATGAGCAGTGCAGGCACCAATCACATCGGCACACCCCATCCAGTGGCGATCTCTGAAGGGGCACAGAGCTGTGGCACATACACGAACAGATCTTGTGAGCAATGCAATGCAGCACATGTAGCATGCATGTGTGCAGATTCGTGAAGGGGCACAGAGGTCCAGCACATACATTAACAGATTTTGTGATCAATGCAATCCGTGAACGGGCACCGAGGTGCAGCACATACAGTAACAGATTTTGTGATCAATGCAATGCAGCACACGTCGCATGCATGCATGCACACATAACATGCATGTATGCACGCACACGTAGCATGCATGCATGCACACGTGTGACGCGCAACCTCGCGCCCTGTGCTGTCTTTCGTTCGGAGTGTGAGACGTGCGGAAAGAGGCCCAGAAAAACAGCAAGATGGGGTGTGCCAAGGATTTTTGGGAAATTGAGTGTGGGGACACAGATGGGACTGAAATCCCCCGTGATGGTCCGATGAAGCAAGTCGATTAGTTTCGCGCGTCGCGGAATGCGCGCGCGGACATGGAGCGAAAACAGAAAGATCCAAATTCAATCCAGAAAGTATTGTCGGGCTTCCCACCAGGCTACAGCCCGTCGTTTAGAACGGAAAGGCTCTGGCACGCTTCGCGTGTCTCGTTTTCGTATCAGATCTCGTCATCGTTCGCTGGTCAGTTCCGAATCCGATGTGGATGGTCTCAGCCGAGTGGCTCTTTCCTTATGCTCGTCCTCACTCCGTATTCGGTAGTGGAAGCCCTTCGCTTCGTAGCGATCGAAACACTGGCACTCCATGCACAGAGTGCGGGGCCAATGGGGCGCCACTGCTGTCCACGGAATGACGATCAGCTCGTTAAACGGCAACAATATCGAGTAGGGTGGAAAATGCGTATCGATAATGACAAATCCGGCGTCTACGAACCCAGAACAACGGYTGGCCGGAGGGAAGTAATACTGCCCGCCAATTTGTGCGACGGCTTCTCGTACGTCCCACTCACATACACGTGTMCTTTCCTCAYCGTAGGGAAAAGGTCGCGTTGGGATGGGAGGTGCGGGAGGCTGGCGCCCAATCGAGGGGTGCTTGTCAGTCCACATATCAATCAATCACATATATCCAGAGGCGTCATTAAGAACAAAAATCATTCATGCGACCCTCAATCTACCCTTCTTTACACACGAGGGAGCAGACACACATCAGCTTGATCATGCATAGGGCTAAGGGACCGACCCGCGACTCAGTTCAACACAACGTTGGTTTCCGGCACCTTGTTTCTCAAGGCCGCCTGGTGGCGTGGCTGCTGATGTCGTGCCGCATAAGGCAGATGGCATGCGCAGTGCGTTCGGGACTACAGATCTAAACACTCTTGTATTCTCGAACAAAATCCCGACGACACTCGTCTAATCAATCCGAAAAGTCACGCATCTCTATACATGCATTCACTGTGGAAGGTGCGAAAATGAGACATTCATAGGAAAAGATGGATCGCATTGCACAGTACACACGCATCCACCGTTCACAAGACAAGTAGACGGGGTCCTTGCGTAGGAGGATTACCCAGGAAACTAATGGAAGAGTTCCGGAAGAAGTTCTTTCACACAGAAATAGGATGCCGACTCATTCCCATTCAAAAGAGGGACAATCATTCAGACCCATCGTCTTTCGAGAAGAAAGAAAGAGAGAGAGAGAGAGAGAGTCGAGGGAAGGTCCAAAATAGAAGATGACAAGATCCAGGAAGAGAAAAGTTCGGCGTCACCGCCATACACTCACGCCAAAGATAACAATCCGCAACAAAGGCGCATTCGCCGTTAATTCCAAAATGGCCCTGGGCCAATCAACTCAACATCGATCCTCGTACCCACACCGACGATCCTGGCCGTTGCGTGCTACTCCCACCACTGCGATCGTCACCCCGCTGTCGCAAACTCGACACGGTTCACCCAGATCCCACAGTCCGTCGTGGCGATCCAGCGCGCAACCGGCCCGTCTATCGTCGGACCGACAGGACTTTCCGAATCGCTTCAAACACTCTGCCTAGCCACTGCTTCCCGGAAGCTGGCTTGAGAGTCGAGAACGTAAGAGAGATTTGCGGGCGCGCTTGCGGGTTTTATAGCTGCGAGAAAGGAGATAGAAGAGGGAGAGAACGACGGGAAGGCGGGGGTGTAGGAGGAAAAGGAGGAGAAGACTTTGAGAAGAGTGCTCTACGAGCGCCACGTTGATTCCTCGGAACTCAAGGTTCAATCAATCAGATTCGTTGCGCGATAGAAAGGTCCTATCGATCCACGCACCTGATTGGCGAGCGGGAGTTATCGGGGGATCGACCAAGCGTCGTACGTCAGACTTAGAGGGTGAGAAGAGAAAAGGCGCGAGAGATGGCGCAAGACGGGTCCAAGATTCAGATGATCAAGAAAGGGAAATGGGCGCGCGAAAGCAAGGCGGAAGAGAGAGGGGGAGAAGGAAAGGGAGGCTCGGGAGGGGGCGATGCGGGGGACAGAGAGGAGGAAGTTTTTGCATGCGCGGCGTTGTCAACAAAAAAACAGAAAAAAGGCACCGAAACAGTTACAGCTTGCTTCTATCCTAATTCAAAATTGAAATCACCATATCCGCACGCGAAAAAGCAACGCAGGAAAAGAAAATCCTATGCCTATTCGTATTTACGCAAAATTCCGAGAGTTTTCCCCGACGCGCCCAAAAACATTCACACACCCAAAAAGGACACGTCGAAGTTCCGCTTATCCCGGAATTCCCAACTACCGAGCCCAATTCCCAACGCGCTCGCTAARGCGTGCACAAATTCCCATGTAYTTCCCGACTTTGCAAAAAGAAAAACAGAACTCAGCAGTCGAAAAAGCTCTCAAAAAGGGAAATGCAGCACCCGAAAGCAAGAATCAAAACGGGGTTTTTCTTGGGGTTGGTACGATACAAGCAAAAGAAAGGGTACGAAAGATAGCA